AATATTAATGAAAGATGTAAACTTGTTTTCTGCACCACCATCTCTCCATATGTGATAGCTGACAGCACTGTTTTCACCACTGTCTTTGTCAGAGGCGGACACAGAGAATAAAGATTTGCCTGGAGCATTATTCTCCATCACATAAAATGCATAAGGAGAGGAAGAGAACTCTGGACTGTTGTCATTTACATCTGATATTATAACAGTTACTGTTTTAACAGATGATAATGATGGCTGTCCTGCATCTTTTGCAACCAATGTTATGTCATACTGAAATCTAGTTTCCCTGTCTAGTGGTGATGTGGAAACTAATGAGTATGTGCTATGTTGTGAAGAAGGTATTAATTTGAAAGGCATGTCATCGTCTAAAGAGCAGGACACTTTGCCATTGAGTCCAGAATCTAAATCAGAGACACTAATTAAAGCCACTGTAGTGCCAGGTCTAGAGTCCTCTGGAATGGAGTTGGAGAATGATGTCACCTCAATTTCAGGTGCATTATCATTTACATCGACTATCTTTATGGTCACTGTTTTATCTGTAATCAGGGGAATTAGTCCCTTGTCAGATGCTTGTATATCAATCTCATAGCTGTCTTTTCCCTCATAATCTAACAGTCCCTTAACAATTATTTCCCCACTGATGGTGTTAATATCAAAAAGCTTGCGTACTTTACTGCTAACACTTTTACCAAATGAATAAACTATCTCGCCGTTCGGGCCCTCATCTGAGTCGGTAGCGTTGACCTGAATCACAGTAGTACCGATTGGCGCATTTTCACTCAACGTGACTGAATAAACATCTTTTATAAACACAGGCAAGTTATCATTTATATCTAATACATCAACCGTTATGGCCATTGTCCCTGATTTTGCAGGTTTTCCTCCATCTACAGCAATTAATTGCAAATTAATGCTTCGAGCAAACTCTCTGTCTAAAGCCTTTTGTAAAATCAAAATAGGAATTTTACCATCTTCTCCTCGATCTTTGACTTCAAGTCGGAAATTATCATTATGACTGAGTTTGTAATGATGCACAGAATTACTGCCGCTATCAGAATCACCCGCAGCTTCGAGCTGAAATCGTGTACCGGGCAGAGCAGATTCCCCTATTTCTAAATGCATCTCGCTCTCAGGAAAACTCGGAGCGTGATCGTTCACATCCAGAATCTCAACAGTCACATAATGTATTTCAAGAGGATTTTCTAATGCTATTTTCACATTTATTAAACACGGCGTGCTTCTCTCGCAGACCTCCTCTCGGTCTATCTTACCGTTCACATACAGTACTCCGTCATTCTGGTTCACAATGAACATTGACTCGCCTGAGGTTGAGACGATGCGAAATCCTCGCTCTTTAAGGGTTCTGGGATCAATTCCCAAATCCTTCCCAATATTTCCCACAGCAGCTCCTTCCCTCTGTTCCTCTGAGATGGAGTATTGAATTTGCGCTCGCGCCACCGAAACAAACACAAGCAATGCGGCGATTAGAGGGAATTTCGCGTGCTCCTTCAGCCATTGCGCCAATCTCCTTTGTTCCATCATGAAGATATTACAGACAAGATTTTACAATAATTCCTCTGTTACACTCGGTCGACTCTGTCGAGCATCGTCGTTGCCCTAAAATCCAGCATTTACAGACGAAAAACAAATCGCGCAGAGAAAATATAGCCGCACGACAGCCTCTGACGAGGGATCTACACAAACAATAAATGCAAAGGGGAGGACTGCCTGTATTTTACGTCATGAGCCGTATTCTAGGGTTACACCGACATCTCGCGCCCTGACAGCTGTAATGCATCACATTTTACTGCAGAGTAATCACCGCTAAAAAAATAATAACAGTAAATATAAGATTCATGCAATTACCCTTAGAGAAAATACAGTACAAAATAGCAACAAGAATAACAAAACAAAAAATTATATCATAATAAGTTTTGCAAGACCACATTTGAACTGCTCCCTAAACCACAAAAGTCACAGACTAAGACACTAAATGCTAGAGTAGAGACGAAACACTGAAGTAAACAACAACCTTAAAATATAACCAGTGCAGACATAAAATTAAATGCAAAGGGAATTAATTAATGTTTATTGCTTCACAATCAGCCATGATACATTTAACCAAATACTAAATAAATAAATAAATAAATAAATAAATAAATAAATAAATAAATAAATAAACAAAAGCTCACTCAAATTTTCATTACTACTTGGAGAAGCTCAATCCAGGTTACAAAATCTGAAATACTGTGCAGCATAACGCCATTTTATTAATTATGAGCAGTGTTATGTATGCATATTTAACAATACTATGTTTAGCAATTACCAAACTATTAGTTTAAATAATAAATCAACTTGAGAAAAAGGGATAGACTAAGAATGTACCATTTCAAACAAAAACTAAACAGCAGATTCAGTACCATGGACAGCAACTGACACCGGTAACACGATTATGTGCATGAAACTAATACACAGACTGTTCAGTCATTTCTTACCTCTCCAGAATCCCTCCTCCTGCGATCTGGTATGACTAGAGTATTCCTATTACTGCCTGGTGCTATAGTAGAGCCGATACTCATTCTGGGTCCAACTAACATGTAGCGTTTGTCTCCAGATCTGTACTGGATGCTGTGACACAGAGTCCCGTCATAATTTGTGTCCTGTAAATACTTGGACGAATAGTCTGTAGATTTGGAGCACTGCATTACAATCAACACGATGATGCTGATGACGAAAAGCACCGAAACCGAGCCCAAAGTTATGATCAAATAAAATGTCACGTTGTTTTCCTCCTCGTCTTTCTCTGCGTTTTTAACATCAGAAGCTGCAGAAGCCTCTTTGGGCTCCACAACTTTGACAATCACAGTCGCTGTTGCTGAGAGGGAAACGTTCCCATTGTCTTTGACCAGTATGACCAGTTTATGCTGGGCCTCGTCTGTTTCTGTGAATGAGCGAAGGGTCCTTATCTGTCCTGTATAGCGGTCCAAAGCAAAGAGACTGTGCTCACTAACTTCCTGCAGTGAGAATAATAACCAGCCGTTGTATCCTATATCTGCGTCATAGGCTCTGACTTTAGTCACCAAATGACCTGCGTTCACATTACGGGGAATCTCTTCCACACCCTCAGCAGAACCGTTAGCGCTGACTGGATATAAGATCACTGGAACGTTGTCGTTCTGATCCAGAATAAACACGTTCACTGTCACGTTACTGCTCAGAGATGGACTTCCAGAGTCTGTGGCGAGCACGTCAAACTGAAACTTTTTGATCGTTTCGAAATCAAAGCTTTTAAGCGAGTAAATAACCCCAGATTCGGAATTTACATTTAAGAATGATGTCATTTCGTTTTGCGTTCCTCTATTTATCTGATACGATATCAACGCATTTTCGTTCACGTCTTTATCTGATGCTCTAACAGAGAATATGGATGCTCCAGGAGCATTGTTTTCAAATATGTAAAGCTCAAGGTATTTACTAGCAAACTCAGGTTGGTTGTCGTTCACATCTGCCACCTGAATGCTTAACGTTTTGAAGGATGATAAAGGAGGCAGACCTAGGTCTGTTGCTGTAACTGTTATGTCATAATGGGGAACAAGTTCACGATCCAATCGTCCTTTTGTCACCAGCGAATACATATTATCTTGAAAAGAGGGTTTAAATTCAAAAGGGACATTTTCTGATAAACTACACACAACTTTACCATTGGAGCCAGAGTCTTTATCCGAGACACTTATCAAAGCTATAACTGTGCCGGGTTTAGAGTCCTCGGAAACTATATTAGATAATGACGTCAGCTCAATTTCAGGTTTATTGTCGTTTATATCTTGTATCTTTATAATAACTCGACATTGCGCAGACAAAGGAGGCTGGCCTTTATCTGAGGCCTCAACGTCAAGTTTATAAACATCAGTGTCCTCAAAGTCTACCTCACCTTTAACCTTTATCTCGCCTGTAATGTGATCTAAATCAAATATGTCATACACTTTGCGCTTTAACGTTTTACCAAGGGAATACTCAATCTCGCTATTTGAGCCCTCGTCGCTGTCTGTTGCTTTAATTTTAATGACAGTCGTACCAACTGGCGAATTTTCCTGTAAACTGACTGAATATATGTCTTTACTGAACACAGGGCGATTATCATTAGTATCCAGTACAGTAACAGAGACGTTAAGAGTTCCTAACTTAGGAGGGTTTCCACCGTCGATTGCTTGTAATATCAGCAGATGTTCTGCCTTGTGTTCGCGATCGAGTGGCTTTTTTAACACCAAAAAGGGGATTTTTTCCTCATCGCTATTTCTGATATCAATTTCAAAATTTTCGTCCTGACTTAATTTATACAGACGAACAGAATACGGTGCGGTATCCTGATCTCTTGCCGCGTGCAGCTGGAAGCTCGTTCCTGTAGGAGTGTGTTCTGCTATCTCGAAATGTTGATTCTGTTCAGAAAAGCTAGGGTTGTTGTCATTTATATCAGTTATTTCTACTGCAACATAATGAATCTCTAAAGGATTCTCGACTGCTGTTTTCAGATTCACTATGCACGCGCTGTTTCCTTCACAGATCGCTTCTCTATCTACGCTCTTTAGGATATATAACTCGCCATTGTTCTGGTTAACTTGGAAATATGCGTCTTTAGAACCAGACACAATACGGAACCGTCTGTCCGCCAAAGTACTCACGTCAATCCCCAGATCCTTAGCAATATTTCCCAAGACAGATCCCTGTTTCATTTCCTCAGGAATGGTGTATCTTATCTGCGCTGAAACCTGCTGTCCATAGCGCAGAATGAAGGAAAAACACAAAGCGATCCACCAGTACTCTCTTTGTTCAGCCATCGTTAACGATTCCTGTATTGCGCAGCTATAATCCGTCACTGTGATCTTCAGTTAAAATGGTATACCTTCCAGATGCGACATTCTTTAATTAAATCAATAAAATGCTATAACATTTAATGTATTTTCTCCGCTTATCGCTCTGTATGCTAGCCTGCTTGGCTGCTATCACAGCTTAACTGAACGGAACAACCATGCGCACCACATACAGATAGGCAGGGCCAAATCTTTATTTCATATTGTGATGTAACACTGACCCCACATGGTACAAACGAGAAGTAAATCACAACTACAAATAATATAGAAATGACTGTCAGGACAATCCGTGACATAGTTGCACAAAAATCAAGGATATGTAGGCAAGATGGGAAAAATAAAAGTGTAAATAGTAATACTTTATTTTGATGGTCTATTAGGTATTAGTAGACTGTCTGCTTAATATCTGCTGATAGTGCTCCTTCATCAGACATTTACTGACTATAAGAAACTTTGCAAGTACATATCAACTTACGCTAACACTAACCCCAACCCTAAACGTCTACTTATAATCTAATGAGAATTAGTTGGCATGTGGATGCAGTGTAACTTTAATTTAACAGATGGACCATGACCGTGTAAATTATTCAAATCTCCCAATGAGGTTTGCAAAAATAAAATTAACACAACTGACATAACTGTAAAAAGAGCAAAATAAACAAACAAACATTTACATAAATACATATAAACGACCGTGAAAGAAAACGAGATTTCAGCACCGTGGACAGCACCAAACAGACACCAAACGTAGTTGTAATTATTTTACTGCCATGAAAAAAAATGAAATATACAAAATATAAAATTCTTTGAATTGATTATAGTATTAAAAAAATAAAATTTCGCACGAAAACAATTTTAAAGTAATAGAAACTACTATAAGCAAAATTTGGCAAACGACTTCGTACCAAGGAAAGGGCGCTTACCTCTCCAGAGTCTCTCCTCCTGCGATCTGGTATGACTAGAGTATTCCTATTACTGCCTGGTGCTATAGTAGAGCCGATACTCATTCTGGGTCCAACTAACATGTAGCGTTTGTCTCCAGATCTGTACTGGATGCTGTGACACAGAGTCCCGTCATAATTTGTGTCCTGTAAATACTTGGACGAATAGTCTGTAGATTTGGAGCACTGCATTACAATCAACACGATGATGCTGATGACGAAAAGCACCGAAACCGAGCCCAAAGTGATGATCAAATAAAATGTCACGTTGTTTTCCTCCTCGTCTTTCTCTGCGTTTTTAACATCAGAAGCTGCAAAAGCCTCTTTGGGCTCCACAACTTTGACAATCACAGTCGCTGTTGCTGAGAGGGAAACGTTCCCATTGTCTTTGACCAGTATGACCAGTTTATGCTGGGCCTCGTCTGTTTCTGTGAATGAGCGAAGGGTCCTTATCTGTCCTGTATAGCGGTCCAAAGCAAAGAGACTGTGCTCACTAACTTCCTGCAGTGAGAATAATAACCAGCCGTTGTATCCTATATCTGCGTCATAGGCTCTGACTTTAGTCACCAAATGACCTGCGTTCACATTACGGGGAATCTCTTCCACACCCTCAGCAGAACCGTTAGCGCTGACTGGATATAAGATCACTGGAACGTTGTCGTTCTGATCCAGAATAAACACGTTCACTGTCACGTTACTGCTTAGAGATGGACTTCCAGAGTCTGTGGCGAGTATGTGGAACTGAAACTTCTTAATGGCTTCAAAATCAAAACTTTTCAGCGCATTGATGACTCCACTTTCATGGTTAATACTGAGAAAGGAAGACATGTCACTCTCTGTACCATTTCCTCTAACTATCTGATAGGATATCGCAGCATTTTCGTTTAGATCTTTATCTGACGCGCTCACGGAGAATACTGACGCACCAGGCGTGTTGTTTTCCACTAAATACAGCTCAAGGGGATTTCTGTCAAACTCTGGTTTATTGTCATTAACATCAGCCACCTGCACAGTAACAGTTTTAAAAGAGGAGAGAGACGGCTGACCGAGATCACTGGCTTTAATCGTGATTTTATAATCTGCCACAACTTCCCTGTCCAACTCACCTTTAGTAATTAAAGAATACATATTTTCCTGCACAGATGGTTTTAACTCGAACGGAACATTATCTGAAAGACTACAAACAACCTTCCCATTAACACCAGAGTCTTTATCTGATACACTAATTAGAGATATCACAGTACCGGGTTTTGAGTTCTCAGGTATGATGTTAGAAAGGGACGTGACGTCAATCTCCGGGTTATTATCATTCTCGTCGGTGATTTTAATAATTACTCTGCAGTCAGTGGTCATCGGCGGCTGTCCTTTATCAGTAGCCTGCACTGTAAGTCTATGTACCTCGTTCTCTTCAAAATCAATTGGCTCTTTAATATTAATTTCGCCAGTTATACTATCTAGGCTAAATATTTCATGCACTTTTCGCCTACTAGTTTTCCCTAGTGTGTATATAACCTCCCCATTTAAACCCTCATCAGAATCAGTGGCGTTTACTCTTGCTATTACTGTCCCTATAGGTGTGTTTTCTGGAAGTGTTACTGAATATGTATCTTTAGTACATACAGGGCGGTTATCGTTGGAGTCAAGAACAGTAATAGTAATATTTAAAGTACCTGACTTAGAGGGGACGCCTCCATCCACTGCAGTCAACACAAGTCTATGCTCGGAATTTTTCTCTCTGTCTAAATGTTTAAGCAAAACTAAAATCGGATTCTTTTCCTCTTCGTCGCCGTCTCTCATTTCCAGCTCAAAAAAGCTATTTTTTGCTAATTTATAATGTCGAATTGAATTGCTTCCGATGTCTGGATCTCTTGCAATTTGGAGCTCGAAGCGTGCACCTTCAATTGTGTTCTCAGCCATTTTAAAATGCTGCTCTTTCTCGGGGAAACGAGGACTGTGATCATTCACGTCAGTGATTTCTACTCCAACATAATGTATTTCAAGTGGATTTTCAACTGCGACTTTTAAGTTCACCAAGCATACGCTGTTTCCCTCACACAGCTCTTCTCTATCAATTTTCTTACTGACATGCAACTCGCCATTGTTTTGATTTACCTCAAAGAGAGAATCTTTCGATCCAGAGACGATACGGAACCGTCTATCCACCAAAGTATTCGCATCAAGACCCAAATCCTTTGCGATATTTCCCACAGTATATCCCTCAAGTACCTCCTCTGGCACAGAATATCGTATTTGGCTTGAAATCTGCAGCGTGATGCTAAGCTGCGAGAAGAAACACAAAGCCTTCCACCAGAAATCGCATTTGCGTCTTTGTCCTCCGGCTTCCATCGTTAAAACCTCTTTTATAAAACAAAGAACATGCAATTTGCCACCAGAGTGCGCTTCTTGTTCATGACACCGTGTATTCGTGGTAAAATTGTCGCTTTTAAATAAGAGAGGACAAATCCGTGACACAGAATAAAGCTCCCATCCCAGCGTAAACGAACAAAAAAGCCATGCGCACCTTTCATAATGGGCAGGGCAAAATCTCCCCAGTCAATCCTTATGTAAGGCTGACATCAAATGGTAAAAGCAAGAACTGTTTCAAATACACATATAATAATTTCTAAAACAAAATAGTGAATATATCTTATTATACAGCGCTTACTGAATGCGACAGGTTTAGTGCCCAGATGAAAAAGATATGCTTTTAAATATAATACAAATGTGCTAAAAATGTAGATAGCATGTTTAAACACAATTAGCACAAATAACATACTTACTTAAAGTGCAATTTAAATGTGTTGGTTTGCATTTAAGGGACTTATTATAAACTATATACAAGTACATTGGTAAAAAAAAAAAATCGTAATTGCACTTTTAAAAACTAACTCAAGCTTACTAGTTATGCATTTTAATGTATTTACAGAGAACACACTGATTTTATTCTTTCTTAAAGCATGTTTTGTGTGTACTTTGTTTAAGAATATTGTGAAACGGTGCCGATTTTAGTGTGCTTCAAGCATGCGTGTTATTTGCAATTGTTTCAGACATAATGAAACATATTTTAAATACTGCAAATGAGCACGTGCTTTAGCTTGTATTTTAAAATATTTAGCTTCACACTGTTATGCAATGTTAATTGTCAATTGAAAAAGTTGAAAAATACAATTTTCAAGCATTTAAAAACCGTGCAGTTATTTGTGTTTGTATTGTACTTTTACAGCATATTTTTTAATTTAAATAAAATGCATTCTTCTTTATTATTTTGTTTATTAATGCTGAAATAAAGTAGGTATTGTAGTACTCTGCAAATGTATGGTAAGTATAGTAAGAACACATTAATGTGAAGCTTTGAATATTTTTCACCTGGCCTTAAAATATAATTTAGCTAGTTTTAAAATGCATTTCAGCTGTGCTTACAATGTACTTCATCTGAACTCTGAGCTTATACTATACTTGAATTGGTTTTAAAATACACTGCATCTGGGTTAAAATACACTTTCTCTAAACTTAAAATATACTTCAGCTGTCTTAAAAATACACTTTAAATGCATTTCTAATATATAATTTAAATGTACTTTAAACAAAATACAGTTTTAAAAGTACACTTTAATTGTAGTTAAAGTATGTCCATTTTAACACAAGTATGTTACAAAATATTTCAAATAGCTTAAATGTAATATAAAGTATAAATAAAATAACAATTATTATGCTTGGAGTTGTTCCAAAATAACACATTTAATATCCACTTAGTTTAGTACAACTAAAATATGATAATTACGTCAAAAATACAACTTTCCACCTGGGTGTGGGTGTTTACTTATATATATATATATATATATATATATATATATATATATATATATATATATATATATATATATATATATATATATATATTTTTTTTTTTTTTTTTTTTTCATATTTTTATTTGATTGTTTGTTTGTTTGTAATGATTGTGTATATCCCACACGCACGTAACTGCTTCGTGCTATATAGTAAACACACCTGCGTGACTGACTGTTAGAGGTGATTTTAGAGTGAGCGTTGCTAGCTTTAAGATAATTTTTCCTCATTGATTTTTGTTCTCCAGCTAAAATAAGGAGTTTGACGTGGTCGACTTGTATATAGATAAAAGTGTATATATTATGCAACGCTATTGTATTTTGAGGTACTAGCAGCCTGGTGTTTTAATAGTGAATTAGCATGGTTTAATTTCATGTAAATGTAAAAGTGTTTCGTAATTCATTCTGTTTGCAATCCTTTTTATAGTGGATTACATGTGGATGATTGGGGAACTGTAATACTAAAACTATAATATTTTCTATTAGAGGGGTACGAGGTAATAACTATTGCCTGAGAAATCAATGAAATTGTAATTATCTTGAAGAACATTTTAAATAAGGATAGCTATAATAAAATGGAACACTTTCAAATACGAGTGCACCAACATGCATTAAATAATGCTTATCTAATGCACATACAATTGTGAGTTCATGTATAACTCATGAAAAACTAAAACATTTATCAATGATTACTGCATGAGCAATATTTAAACATCAAGTTTAGTTTTTTCACGAGTTATACTTTACTACTGATTATCTGTACATTGGTTAACCATCATTTAATGCATAATAGTGTGCCCATGTTATAAAGTGTTACCAAAAATTTTGTATTGTTGAGAAGTCAAGTCTCTGTCTTTAATCTATTCAAATTAGTTGAGTCATTGATAGTTTTTCATCAACTGACACAACTGTAAAAAGAGCAAAAAATAAAAATAAAATCTCAGCGACTGTGAAGGAGAACGACTTTTCAGAACCACAAACAGCACCAACACACCCGTAATTCATTCATTCGTTCATTCATTTTCTTTTCAGCTTAGTCCTTTTATTATTCTAGGGTAGCCACAGAGGAATGAACTGAGAACTTATTCAGCATATGTTGTACGCAACGGATGCCTTTCCAACTCTGGGAAACATCCATACACACTCACAAACCACAGTCAATTTAGCCTACCCAATTCAACTGTACCGCAAATCTTTGGACTGGGGGAAACCGGAGCACCCGGAGGAAACCCACGCGAACGCATTCCCGTAATAGTAGTAATTATTAAACTGTTATACAAACTTGCACATAATAAAAAAGATACATAAAACAACTGCATGAATAAAATAAACATATAATTTGAATTGATTTAAACTATGAAAAAACTATTTCGCATGTAAAGACTTTGAAAGTTTTAGAAAATACTTTAAGCAAATAATGGCGAACGACTCCGCACAAATGAAAGGGCGCTTACCTCTCCAGAGTCTCTCCTCCTGCGATCTGGTATGACTAGAGTATTCCTATTACTGCCTGGTGCTATAGTCGAGCCGATACTCATTCTGGGTCCAACTAACATGTAGCGTTTGTCTCCAGATCTGTACTGGATGCTGTGACACAGAGTCCCGTCATAATTTGTGTCCTGTAAATACTTGGACGAATAGTCTGTAGATTTGGAGCACTGCATTACAATCAACACGATGATGCTGATGACGAAAAGCACCGAAACCGAGCCCAAAGTGATGATCAAATAAAATGTCACGTTGTTTTCCTCCTCGTCTTTCTCTGCGTTTTTAACATCAGAAGCTGCAAAAGCCTCTTTGGGCTCCACAACTTTGACAATCACAGTCGCTGTTGCTGAGAGGGAAACGTTCCCATTGTCTTTGACCAGTATGACCAGTTTATGCTGGGCCTCGTCTGTTTCTGTGAATGAGCGAAGGGTCCTTATCTGTCCTGTATAGCGATCCAAAGCAAAGAGACTGTGCTCACTAACTTCCTGCAGTGAGAATAATAACCAGCCGTTGTATCCTATATCTGCGTCATAGGCTCTGACTTTAGTCACCAAATGACCTGCGTTCACATTACGGGGAATCTCTTCCACACCCTCAGCAGAACCGTTAGCGCTGACTGGATATAAGATCACTGGAACGTTGTCGTTCTGGTCCAGAATAAACACGTTCACTGTCACGTTACTGCTCAGAGATGGACTTCCAGAGTCTGTGGCGAGCACGTGAAAGTGGGATGTTTTTAACATCTCAAAATCAAAGCTCTTCAGCGAATAAACAACACCTGTCTCAGAATTAATATTCAAGTAAGAGGACATATCAGTCTGTGATCCATCACCTCTAATTATATGATACGATATCACGGCATTTTCAGCAGAGTCTTTATCAGACGCAGAGACTGAAATTATGGACGAACCTGCAGCATTGTTTTCCATCAGGTAAAGATCTAGAGGATTTATGCTAAATTCTGGAGCATTATCATTCACATCAGAAATCTCAACGCTTAGAGTGGTCGATGCAGTTAAAGAAGGCTGTCCTAAATCAGAGGCTGTTATTGTAATGTCATACTGTGAGTGAGTCTCTCTGTCTAAGCGATCTTTTGTCACTAAAGAGTACATGTTGTCTTTAAAAGAAGGCTTTAGCTCAAAGGGAACATTTTTATTCAACTGACAAATGACTTTACCGTTTATCCCGGCGTCTTTATCGGTCACACTGATCAGAGAAATCACCGTTCCGGGTTTACAATCCTCAGGAATGTTCTTAGAAAGTGACGTAATCTCAATCTCAGGGCTGTTGTCATTCACATCAATAATCTTAATAACAACTCTGCTGTTTGCAGACATTGATAGATGCCCCTTATCTGAGGCTTGAATATCGAGTTTATAAACTTCTGTATCTTCAAAATCCACTGCCCCTTTTACTCGTATTTCACCTGTGATCTTATCGAGCTCAAAAACCTCTTGTACTTTAATATTTAATTTGACAAAGCTGTATTCAATATCGCTATTTAATCCCTCGTCTATATCAGTTGCGTTTACTTTAAGAACAACAGTGCCAATAACAGAGTTTTCCTGTAAAGTCACAGAATACGTATCTCGGCTAAACACAGGTCGATTATCATTTATATCGAGAATAGTAATAGTAATGTTAAGAGCGCCAGATTTCGGAGGATTTCCTCCGTCTACTGCTGTTAAAAGCAGTCTGTAAATTGTAGTAATCTCCCTATCAACAGCCTTCTTTAAAACTAAAAATGGCACTTTATCCTCATCACTCTCTCTGACTCGAATTTCAAAATGATCATTAGGGCTTAGTTTATATGATCGGACCGAATTTGTTCCAGAATCAGGATCTCGAGCAGCCTGTAACTGATAATCAGCACCAGGCTGTGTATTTTCAGAAATGTTCAGGTGCTCCTCTTTTTCAGGAAATCTAGGAGAGTGGTCATTTATATCTAATATTTCAACTTCTACATAATGTATTTCCAGAGGATTTTCAATTAAGGTTTTTAAATTAACCATACAGACACCACTGCCAACACACAGATACTCTCTGTCGATTTTCTTATGAACGTATAAAACGCCATTGTCCTGGTTTATCTGAAAAAGCTCCTCCTTAGATCCTGAAACGATTCGAAACTGTCTGTCCACCAAGCTACTTACTTCAAGACCCAAATCCTTAGCA